ACGCGCTCGCAGAGCCGCTGCGGCGGCCGGGCCGGGCCGGGCCGGCGGGGGGGGCCGGTAGCTGCTGCAGGGGAGGAGGAGGCCGGAGGAGGGAGGCGGTCGCACCTGGGCCCCTGCCCGCGAGCTCTCGGCCTGCCCCTCCCCGGGGACACGGGCTCTGCCCCGAGGGCACCGCAGCCCAGCCGCGGGGACGGGGGCAGCTGGCAGAGCAGCACCAAGGGGGTTCTCCACCCGCCATAGGGGACAGTCCAGGGTGTCTGCTCCTCTGTTGATACGCCTTTATTATGTCCTCTTGAAGAGAAAAGTAGAGGATGTCAAGGTGTCCAGTTTCACATCCCTTCGTGAATACCACAGGCCCCTGGGGCGAGCTCCCACAGGCGGCGGAGGCAAGTAGGGAGCTGGGCAGGGGGTGGCAAGCGCCCACCGATGCCGCCGGCAGTGTCAGCAGGGGGAATGGCGAGCAGCACCTTTTCACAGTGTCTGCGCACCTTTTCACATGGTGTGCACTGCCACGCTCAGGGGGTGTATGTGCACCCACGTGCACCACCTGCACATTGCCAGTGGATCAGCTGATACGACTTGATATCTGTTCATCAACTGATATCTATTGATACAAAGCCTGACACCTTTACGTCCTCTGTGTTTCTCTTGAAGAGAAACACAGAAGACATAAACGCATCCAGTTTCGTATCAATAGAGGACAACCGGACTGTCCTCTATGTTGACCACCCTACCACGCCCCAGGGTTCAGTTGACAGAAACAAGCTTGCACCGAGGCAGCTCATGCCTAGAGAACAAGCAACTCGGGACTGCTCAGCACATGCCAGCAGGTTTGATAGCGAATCTAAGGATGGTCTCTGTCCCTGGCTCACCTCACTGATTTATCCTTTTTTTTCCAAAGGTTCCTGGATTTGAAGTTACTCTGGGCCTATTCTGGAGATTCACTGAGCAGCTGGGGCTTGAGAAGTGGTCTAGAAATCTACTGAGAAAACAAACACGTTTAAATATTTGAAGCCCATGTTGCACACCCTCTTCAAAACCTGTGGCCTGATCCTGGATGTGCTCTAAAGTTGAGCCAGGGCAGAATTTAGTCCTGTGTGTGCCCTAGGGTGGCCATCATAGAGGATAGTCCGGTTGTCCCCTGTGCAATATTGATACAAAACCAGACACCTTTACAACCTGACAAAGGTGTCAGGTTTCGTATCAATAGAGGACAGAGTAGCAGAAAACTGGAATGTCCTCTATGATGGCCACCCTGTGGCCTGAAGACACCCGGATACATCAGCAGTATATAACAAATATCCTCAACCCTTTCTGTCCCTCACAAGTGTAAAATTAAAGCAATGTGGTAATATAAGTCCAAAAGCCCCAAGAAAATTTGCCTGAATGAGAAGTTACAAAACTGATACTATTCAACTGAACAGCATGTAAACTAAAATCGTTATTCTAAGAGTTTTTTATACAATGCCAGAAACATCTATTTCATCAACCGTGATGACAAATAGCAAGAAGTTGAGTTGTTTGACCTTTATTGGTAAAATATAAATCAGTAGGAAATTTACATGTATATAATTTCTACGGGTTATATAGTTATTCTATAACTTTAATTACTAAAATGGGTCAGCACCATCTCAAATGCTTACTAAACTCTGTTATCTTTTCCTTTATATGAATAACCAATTTAAAAATGCTTACCTACATGTTTTTTATTTCCCCCACTCTTGAAATGAGCTATTCATTTTAGCCTCTTTCAAAATGGTCTCCTTCAGTTTTGCCTTAAATTTCTTGCAGTCTCAACATCCTACATTACAATGACAGCCCTTCTGGTAACTATGATTTCATTAACTGTTTTTGCAGAGTACATAGCTTAGTTAAAACACTATGAACCAGAAAGACAGACCTTAAAATATATCTGCAAAATATGCATGTGACA